CAACATGTTCTGCTTGCATCTATGACAAATACGACATACGCATATACGCTCTCCTATGACACTATTTGTCATAGGAAGAATCTTCCTATGACAAATACGACATACGCATATACGCTCTCCTATGACACTATTTGTCATAGGAAGATTCTTCCGATGACAAATATTGGCGAGTCAACTTCGTTCCGCTCTACAGCTGAAATTCACTGCTTGCGTTCATAATAGCGCTCCTAAACGCCTATGATGCGCACAACACATACAACAATATTTCTCACAAGAAGAATCTTCCTATGACAAATAGTGTCATAGGAGAGCGTATATATGCGTATGTCGTATTTGTCATAGATGCAAGCAGAACAGGCTGAGTATGCGTAATAATGACAGCAGGGATTACCAACTGACAGATCCGTATCCCGCATAGCAACATCAACCCTTACACGTATGAGAAAGGCACCATGTTAGTAAAGGCACCTGTAAACTTACCCGTCAGGTTCAGCGCTGGGTGATACTTTATTAGGAGTGTTCCCAACTCCTTAATGGTCAATAATGGTCATAATAACATATATATATGTATATATATTATCATGGTCATATATTAGTTTGTGGTTTAATGTAATTTAGGTTAGGGTTAGGGTTAGGGTTATCAATCATTAATCATTAATCATTAATCATTAATCATTAATCATTAATGATATCAAAGTTGGGAACACTCCTAATCGAGCGTTAGCTACTCGGTAGCCTAGCTGGTCATTCGCATCCGACTGAATTCAGTCTTGCTTGGGTAATCTTTTCTCCTAAATAATATCACCCAATCAGAACGTATTGTAGAGTGGTGGTCGTGTCATTATTAGCTCAGTCCAATACCATGCTTTCAAAACTGCCAGTGAGGAATAATGTTATCACACTATTACCCAGGACAGGCAATAGAATGGTAGCGCAACACTACTGGCTGCCACTGATCGGAAAGACTACATCCTACCGGCTACTTACCAAGTTTCATTAACTGAATTAAAATTGTGCATGCTTGATAGATCGTCTAGAATACCTACGAGTAACAATCAGTCCCGTCTGCTACACTCGACTACTAGTACAGCTATATTACAAGTTTTATCTAACACAGCCATTTACCTAGGCAGCACCTTCCATAACTAATGAGAACGACGGTCCGACACCTTAAGTTCAATGAATGACAGGCACTAAGTTGGTGACAATAGGTACTAGACCTAGGTAGGTGGAATAAAATAAACGCAGATAACTATTATAAAAAAAAAGTACATTTCGAAAAATAACACATTGATCGCACAAATACGTGAAATCTCAATTCAATAATGCAATAATTCCGACATTGAAGTATCAACCATCATAAATAAGTGGAACTTTGGAACGAATAACTGGAGCTCAGACGTCTGTGTTAAAAAGGTAGCCAACTAGCTACCTCCCGGCAAGACGTTTAACGCCCACAATCTACGATGCTCGTATATTTTATACATACTTGAAGTTGATATGATAGCGTAAGGATATCGGACGATATCAAGGCATGATGCATCACATTTCACCTGCTGCCAGCAGTCTCTCCTTATTCGCTAGAAGACGCTCACTTGTCGCTGCTGCCGCGACAGTCGACAAGTGTTTTAGACTTTTGACACTCTTACACTATTGAAGCATTAACTGACACGACAATGCGCTATCGAAGCCATTGATACATGGTGTGTGTCAGGAAATACGCGCCGCATACGAGAAGCACCACGCTTCTAAGACACTGGTCTAAGCCGATGCTTACGCACTAAGATCGCTAAGTTGCTACAGCCAGTCCCCGCACCAACCCAAACCAACTTGTATTCATTCGCTCAGCGAAACGATACGCATCGTTAACAGGGATGGAGTGTGCTACTCAACCGATTCTGCACTGCTATCCTTGGGTGTATAACGCAGGCATTCGGGCATCCCCGGCTGACTCCAGGCCTACAAGCTTAGTGTTGCAGGGCAGCCTGCAGGAGAACTACATGCAAATACTGCTTCCGCCACTATGCCCACTCACACTCGGCACGGACGCATGGCTGCAGCATACGTCGCAGCATTGAGATGGTTCCCTCCCTTCCCTGCCTATCTACACAGACACGCCCTAATACTGACTACATGCACGGCAAACTAATGAACTCGCCTAACCGCAGAAAACCACACCGAAGTTCACGAAGCCCCGTAACTACCAGGGCATAACAACAACACACACGACACCAAGAACATCCACATGCTACCACGCATAGATCACGCTTCCCAACACAGCTAGTAACGCATATCGACTGCTCTTCACAGCTAGACGAAACGCACCGACGGTAGGTACGCTCCTCACGTCGCCCAGACACGCAACAACCACGCACAGCTATTGCTCTGTTGGGTTCCTACACGGCTGCCTCTTGCTCCAGTGCAACCTTCTCCTTGTCCTCCTCCTCGTCCTCTTCTTTCGCCATAGCCCACGGCTGCACCACACCTAGGCGAAGCGAAAGAAGAAAGTGCAGCGATTTGAAATTAAGCGCAAAAAGTTAGCAATAATGGGAACATGAGGGTTGGGGATGCATAGAAAAAGGGAAGATCTAAAATGCAGAACCATGGATTGATAAAAGTTCCAATGCGAGAGATCTAGCTAGGTGTCAACATGCTGTGGTTGCCACTCCAAATATTCATGATCATTAAAACAAGCCGAGTAACACAGCAACGGGTCAATGCCAAGTCAGCAGGTAAAAAGGAATGCTAACCGTAAGAAATTAGAAAAGAAGGTTAATAGTTTTATACTACACCCATTGATGCAGCATCAACTCTTTGTGCCAAACGTTGACACAGCACCATTAAACACTATATCATGTACATTCTAGCTGCATGCATACATGATACACGGTATAAATATACTATAATCACACACTGCAATAACGTTAAATTGCACCAGCAGATGGAGACACCATCCAGTATACAATCAGTGTTATGCATGAGCTAATTTCCAGTATCACTAGCAACCCAGTTTTAATGATGGGGGGGTGTCACACTCATGTTTTTGCATACGAATAACATCATTAAAAGTAATATTTAGTACAGAATCAAATCGATCCAACTTTATTTTTATATATTATTAAATATAAGGTAGTGTAGGCTACCCTATATATATATAGGGAATTATAAGGTATATGCTCATAGAAAACGGGTTAATGTTCAAGAAAAAGAAGTGGCGACAGCCAGTCCTATTGAACACAGAATGACAGAGAGAAGTAGCACATCAGAAATATAGACCACTCTCTTTCTGCAACTGCTAATGCCATCAACAAAGAATGCTACACTGTTGTGGCAGGTACTAGAGCGACAAGTAAAACATACCTGATCCGAATATTGCAAAAAAGATGGCGCCAAAAATGCAGATTCCTCCAGTGATGTAGAACACCATCTGCCACTGCGACTGCGTTTTCTGTGGATTAAAGATCAATTAAGACTTAATTATCAATGCTCGAATACACATGCACTCACAGACACTTGCGTAAAATCATAACGCAATCGCTATCATAGGAGATATTCAAAAGAAACATTTTGCAGTAAATCACGCTCATCTTCATCGCCACTAAACACGCTCTCCACTTGTTACATAAATAATTCGTTTTGAAAAAACTAATTAGTAATCATTATAATTAAAAAATTAATTATTTAATCGTTACACATAATCACTAAAACCTCCTCCCTCAGCAGGAACGTGGGACCTGCTCTATCAACGTTCACCCCTCCCCCCCGCTGCCCACTGGCTACTTTACGTCCGGCCACTTACGTTCTTGGTAAGGCTGCTGACCATGTACGGCGCAGCGATGCCGGTCAACGTAGATACGGTGTTAGCGATGCCAAACAGTACGCCCGCGTACCTCGGCGCGATGTCCACCTGGTTCACCATCTCGCCACCGTACTGGAAAGCAGCACCTGTATAACGGCCACGTAGAGCACGATCGTCAAGTACTGTACACGCGATATTTTTCGCGTACAGATATTTTCGCGAATTCAGACTCGACGGACAATTTCGCGAGTGGTTAATTTCGCGGTCGCTCGATTCCCGAATCGGTGAAGAACAGCGTGTTGTTATTTTCGCGGTCGGGGACGCGTTCGCGAAATTCGCGTAAATTAAACCACCGCGAAGTATACAGCGTATATATCCCCAGGGGAATATTGAAGACCACTCCACTCTGATACCCCGAGGTGCAGTGACCTGACATCCTCTAAGTCTAATGCCATGATTATGAAGCAGGTCCTAGTAAAATATCCAAACATTAATGTCCAAACCTTGGAATGACCTTTATTTGGTAGATAGCTCAAGGAGCTTGATGTTAAGGACTTGATTCACGGTTAAATATTTAACTGAATCCATTGCAACTAGATCGCCGCTGTTCAAGATAAATAGAACAGAAGTAGATACTAAAGAGTAAAAAAGTACAGAAGAACATTTTCCCCCAGCTGAGATTCGAACCCATAATCTCTGGTTATGAAACCGTGCTCCTACCGACTACTCTACGGCGGCGGGAATGACACGCGAAATAATTCCCACGTACGTGATGATAGAATTTTGACTTTTACTA